GGGCAGGCTTGCTTTCTAATTACTGAGATAGTCCAGCTGGTGTCTTGTCTTTCCATGTCTTTTACACCTCCCTTTCTTGTTCAATACTTTTTCCCTGTGCCATTCCACATTATTACAAATAACTTCATTTCTGGACATTTATGGTTTGATTTCTTTGTATGTATGGATCACTTGGGTTGTTACCAACATCTTGTGAAAATTTCATGTCATTAGCACCTCTAGTAATATATTTACTGAGAAAAATGGTGACGTGTTCAATACTTATTTTACCCGCTGTACATGGGGGGAGCAGCAGAAATGTGAAGCGTGTTAAAAAAAACTAAATCCACTCTTCCTGCTTTTACAGGATTTAAGAGAGGAAGTAGCAGGTGCTGCTGTCCTTTATTAACTGAACAAAAGCAAGAACTGGRAACCAGGGGTGCTAATACAGCGCCCAACCCCCAGTCAAAAAAAAGGAACAAGCCGGCTAAATATATATATATTAGCTCATGCAAAAATTTATCATGCATTTATCATCCGCCCACCCTGTCCACTGTTAGCATCTGTGACAAGTTGGAGGAGCAAAGATGGTGTCCAAACAGGGCAACAGCTCACAGCCAACTACACAACTATCTGATTAACTGCAAGCCCAAGAAATAACAAATTATATGTAATCTTTTTTTGTTTTTTACAATAAATTAAACCATCATGTAAAAAAATATGTAAGTATTAATAATTTAAACTAGATTAAAAGTAGTCAATACATTAGACTAACTATGATAAAGTACTGTACAGTATATTTTTTATTATTCACCTGTTCTGTGCTTGACTTTTAGAAAATGTTCACTTCATACCCGGTGATACTTTAGGATGAAACTTGTCTCTAGCTGGGTACTCTGGTTTTCTCCCACAGACTAAAAACTGTTAAATTAACCATTTCCTCTAAACCAATGAGAGACACTATTCACATTTTACATGTTTACTTGCTTAACACACCTGATTTGAATGAATAACAGGCTAATGCAGAACTTGAAAACTTGGTGATGAGCAGGGAAACAACTAAAACATGCAGGATAGTGGGCATCGAGGACCACTGCTCTAAACTCTTTCTAAGTGTGAGAAATGGTGAATAGRTTAGGGTTGGGCATAATCGTATCGTGTGAAATTAATCGTCAGAAAAACATTAATCGATTACTTTTTGGTACTTGACAATTAATACGATTAATGGCAGCAGGCAGACTGACTGGAGATTACTCCGGTCAGTCCGCTCGGTGCTCTTTTCCACTTCAAATATGACGAGCACTAAAAATAAATTTCTGTAATTTATTTATCTATCAACACAATTCAAAACATGATGTATAGCCTGAAATCTGTCATTTTCACACAATTTGGAACAATTTTTTATAGACAGCAAATCTTTCCCACTAAATTGGTCATGTTACCAGGACATAAGCGTGTCCAGGGACTCCAGGGGATTAATCGTCAAATTAATCGTTATCGGCTAAACAGCACAATTAATCGCGATAAATTTTTTTTTGCCAATATTGCCCAACCCTAGAACAGATGAACTAGCAGCTTGTTCAGGGTGTACCTTGCCTCTCGTCATGACCATTTATGTAGAAAATAATAAAAATGCTGTATCAAAAATGAGTAAATGTTTTGGCTAGATTGATTTATAGGGTATGTTAAATATATACAAATATTTTAATGCTAAACTACAAAAAAAATTAGGACTTTTCAGCAGAAAATGTACATCTGAATTAATCTTAACCTTATAAACCCTTAAAATGCAAGAGTTACAAACTCCCACCCCACCAAAGATGTTGCCCTAAGCAGGCCTCATACACCAATCTTAAAAAGGTGCACTTTTCTCAAAAAAGACCCCCCCTTAAATAAATAAATAAAACAAATAATAAAATCCTGGCCACGCCCATGGGATGGATGGATGGAAGGAAATAGACCATTTCGTAGTTTGAAATGATCAAAAATGTGCGAAGCATGCTGACCTCACATGCTCTATTGTGACTGCACAAGTTCACCAGAGCCGATGTATTTGCTCTAAACTCATTTCTTTTAGAATCGTAGATGAGATTTTTCATAAATATCTAAGCTGTAAATGTGCTTTTTGCGCTTGTTGAATTTGCACAGTTTCAATAGGGTTTTCACAGCAACCTCAGATATTACCCAGTTCACCTGTGACTCCGAAGAGCTGAGCTTCGCTACGCGCACAAAAATCTGAAACGGTGGGGTTCGAATTGGTCCCACATCTGTTTTGGGTACAGCGTTTCTCACTGTAATCGTGTCGCAGCACCCTCTAAAGCAGTGGTTCCCAAACTTTTTATCTTCTGACCCATAAAATGTCATGGCAAAAACTTGTGACCCCAAATATTAC